CAGGCAGTCAGCCCTTCTGTGGCGCCGCACTGGTCGTCCTGTCCAGAACTACCTGGTCAGACCGTGTGGGGTCAGCTAGCCAGTTTCTGGGTAGTTGCCGCCAGGCTACCTAAATGGGACCGCAGAGGTCATTCTCTCCTGGCAAGGAACATCAGCTCAGATTGATTCGCTGCGAGATCTCCCGTCTGTCCCTGGCGCCACCGCTAAGAGTTTGATGTCACGCGGGTGTGTGGCCTCTCTGAGCCCAATAAAGTGAGGCCTCCCAGGAGTTACAAAACCACATTACTGTTCACACAGACACCACACCACACACACACACACACACACACACACACAGCGAGAGAGAGAGAGAGAGAGAGAGAGAGAGAGAGAGAGAGAGCTCTGTTTGTAACCTTTCTGACTGTATCCAGAGTCTCTGGACTCCCCAGAGTCTTCCAGACATCATTCAAATGAGCTATGTTCTAGGCTGCCTCAATGTAAGGGTAGGTAAGGACAATCGGTGTGAGCGATGAAAAAAATACCTCCATCATCAAGACTTCAACTAATCTCTTGGGGAAAAGAGGGTTGAACTAGAGGGAACTAAAGACTCTTACCATTCTGTGTAGAAGACTGGCAGATGTTCTGTCCTAAGGTGGGTGGGAGGGGCCATTTTATCCTGATGACCCTTTTAAAATGTTGTCTTCCTGTTTACTCAGAAAATAATGGAGTACTTAGTTGAACTTTAGGATCAACCCCAACTCAGAATTATGGCAAGGTCTTCAGAGATAAAATCTTTTGGAACAAATCTTAATAACTAGAGTTTTCAACCCACCTTGTTTCTCTAGTCAAGGAAGAAAAGAAAGCTTAACACAATCAGTCACTGCCTGGGGTTGAGCACTCTCTTCATATTTACTGAATCTCATATCCCCAATGTCCATGCTCTCTCTCCCAGAGGGGTTTGCAGTCTGTTCAGAACACTCCCTCCTTCCTCTGGGTGAGCATTTAGCCAAGACTGCTTAGTGCCTTCTTCACACCAAGGAATGTCTTCATCTTGATTGTAGCCAGGATCTTTCCCTACTCCTCCATAAATATAGAAGAAACTGCAAACAAGAACCACCTAGCCGAGCCTAGTCCATGCCTGAAACTTCGATAATGAAACGATTGGTGCTATTTTAATTGACCATACTATTTAACGACAATTTCTTCTACAGCAATAGACAACCAGAAGATTAATCATTACCTAAAGTAGTTGCCTCAGGAAAGACCCACCTGACTATTCACGAATATCCACCAAAGACTCCGTTATCTATACAAGTTTATATTTGCAATCTGGCTTATTCAACCAAGAGGTTCTGATTCCAGTAAACACAGATTAATCCACTCAGCTGATTCTCTCTAGGTTTGGTGGCATACACCTATAATCCCAGCTACTCAAGAGGCGGAGGTGGGAAGAATTGAATCAGGGATTTCAAGGCTAGCCTGGGCAACAAAGCAAGATCCAACCCCAGGCCAAAACACATCTGAGCAGAAGGCATAGAGAAGCCATTTAAACATCCGGAAAAGAAAATGACAGGTAACTTCATGAAGAACACCAGAATTGAAGCAAATCATAATTAGCAGCGAGTTCAACATTATTTTTCATGCAGTCTTCACTAAAATAGACTCAAGCCAACCTGGAAGGGTGAATTGACGTGGACAAAAAGAGCTCCAGAAAGAGGGGGAAATAGGTCTCCTAATGTTCAAAGCACATAGAGGAAATGCCATTTAATTTTTCTTTCATTCTCTTACACACTGTGGAAGCTGCATCAGGGAAGAAAGCGGTACCCTCAAGTTCTCAGACGGACAGGAGTGAGGACAGTCTTCCTCTCTGGTCCCAAGACACTGGATACTATTCCCCAATGGTTCATATTCCTCTCTCTCTCTCTCTCTCTCTCTCTCTCTCTCTCTCTGTGTGTGTGTGTGTGTGTGTGTGTGTGTGTGTGTATCTGTCTCTCTGTTTCTCAATATATGTGTTTCTTTGTCTCTGTCTCTCTGTCTTATGGTGTCAAGAACTGTAATTACAACCATGAGCCCCCATGCTCAGCTTTTACAAACGAATATTTTTTCTTTCCCTTTTGATCTAGTGTCTTATTATATAAACTAAGATAACTTCAAATTTACAGAGATCTGCCTGCCTCTGCCTCCCAAGTGCTGATTAAGTGTGCACCACCATACCCAGCAACAAAAATACTTTATTGTTGTTGTTGTAACTTTGTTTTTTTGTTTTATTTCTCGAGATAGGGTTTCTCTGTGTAGCTTTGGAGCCTATCCTGGAACTCGCTTTGTAGAGCAGGCTGGCCTTGAACTCACAGAGATCCACCTGTCTCTGCCTTCGGAGTGCTGAGATCAAAGGCATGAGTCACCACTGCCCATCGGGTTTTTGTCATTGTTGTTGTTGTTTCAGATAGGATCTCACTATATAGCTCTTGGTATCCTGGAACTCATGGAGATCCACCTGCCTCTGCTTCCCGAGCTGTTATTAAAGTGTGTGCCACCACACTCTGCTGAGAAGATTCTTTTAAGGGGTTGTATATTAAATGGATCCTATTGAAGTATATTAATTATACAAAGTAATGTGTTTCATTATGACATTATCATATATGAATATAACATACTTTGATCATATCCACTGCTTCTTTTCTCTTTAACGTCCCTAACAGAAAGACAATCTGGAAAATCAAAACTAATATTTGTTGAACAGACCAATAGTTTCTAGTGAGGGAAGACAGATGAGTAGAGGAAGGTATGGGGGGGGCAGGGCACTCAATCAGCACATGTGTTAAATTGACCTAACTGTGCAGTACAAGTGAATTTCACTACAGATCCATTTAAACAAGTCCTCCCTTGGATTGCTCTTAAGTAGCCTCCTATTTGAGGTTTAAATAGACAGTGATGGTCTTAAGGAATCCTTTACTGATATGCCCTGACTTGAATTACCATGATGTGTGGCAGGAGGTGGCAAGGAGGAAAACTGAAGCCTAAAAGTCATTGCTATGAAATGCACAGGAATAAATATTAGGGCCCTGGTCAGGGGCCTGCTTTTCTTGGATAGGAAACCAGAGGGGCAAAAAAAGAGCTCTGTGGCAATGCAGAGAGTGACTAATTGACTCAGAATTTAACAAGAAAATCTACAAGTGCTTTGGGTATTCGCAGCAGAGGAAACTGAAGGCAGATAATAGGTTCTATGGGTAATAGAAGAGCTGAGATGTCAACAAGGTCACAATGTGGCACAAGAGTAGCTCCTGGAACTCCACATGCTGGAGCCATCACGGGGAGCGGGAGTTTCATAGTTGGGATTGCCTTTTTCTTCCAAACCAGAGAACCGGCTCATATGAGAGAAGCTGGCATCTCAGCAGTTTGTCAAGCTTGTAAGAAGGGCTTATGGGAAGGCAGCCTGAAAGAGAAGGCTTCCTTCCTTAATTCTTGCTGTTCCTGTCTGCATTGCTACAACAACACTAATTTGCTCTGACCTGAAGCTTCTTCCAGCTCTTGCAGATCAGACTCAGCAGCAGCCCCTCCTTAGGGGCTCAACTATCAATTCTGTAGGACCCAGGTGCTGCACTGAACCCCAAGTTCCTGCCTGTCTCTTCACTATCATTCTCCCCAATATTAGTTATGGTAGCTAGCTGCTTCTCCTAATTACTGTCTTTGGGTTTTCTCACCACTGCCTTTGTGTGCTCTCAGTTCTCCAATACCTACGTGACAGATTTCCTATATTAACCCTCTAATGGTTCTGTTTTCTTCTCTGGACTGTGGACTTAAAGTATCCCCATCATGGCATCCATACATATATAAGCATACATATATAAAACAGAGGCTGCATATATATCACAATTTAATTGGGATTTGAGCCATCTTACATTTTTCCAAAATATATTTTATGGGCTACTGATCATCTATCTACTTTATTTAGAATTTATGACTTTTTAAATATCATTTGCTTTTTATAGCATATATTCTGTACCACTTCTTACACCCATTGCTATCAACATTCACTTTCCTGGTCTGTGTGGGTAAATATGTATTGTTACAATTCAGTGTAGTACTGAGAAAGAGAATGAGTTTAAATATTTTTATATTTAGTACTCTAGTAGTCCTATAACCTGTACTAAATTAAAAGTAAAGGGTTTTTTTCAGTTGCTTTATCACCCACAAATCAGAGCTGTTCGTTCTTTATTGTATTTCCAAAAACCCAAATCCCCCTTTGACTCAGCTCTAAAGTACAGTCTCATTTGAGACACTCTAGAACAAAAGCAAAGTCACTTCCAAATACTTGTAGTTTTGTTTTGTAGGTCTCATCATACACACTGGAATTCCTCTGTGAGTTATTAAAGAAAAGCCTCCAGATTCTTATTTAATTTTCTTAAAGCGATTGGAAAATATTTCAGCCAATGTTTGAGATAACGCCCTTATTAACAAAATGCTTTAAAATCAGGAAGAGCCTATTAGGAGTTCAAGACACTCATTAAAGGTTTCACAAATAGTTCACGTTGTTCCTTCTGTATGCCCATTTTTGTCTCACTACATTAAGCAAAATGTAAGTATTGCATATTTAAACTCCTTTCAGCCTCCTCCAGCTTTGGGCTTGCATCCAGAGGTCCCACTGCAGTGCACCACTTTGTGTTGATGGCAGGCTAGGTCAAACTGCCCGTGGAGAAACTTCATGGATGTGTTAATTAAGTAATAAATACAGAATCCTCTTCTTAAGCAGCAAGATGAGCTGGCAGAAGACACTTGATCTACAGGAGACCATGCTGGCCT